AGTCAGGATTGAGAACACAGCAGAAACTGTTGGGGAGGGGTAACAGAACCAGTTCCAGTGTTTCCTGCTGCAGTCAAACCCAGAGGGCAATAGCACTCCACCTGGTTTTTTGTTTTCATTCTCATGGTTTCCCTAGGTTTCTCCACGGTTTTCCTTTGGTGGCTAGAAGGTGACTCGGGCTCACCTTCCCTCAAAAGCCTGAGTTTCTGACTGTCATGCCCTTTTGCAGGGTGAGGCTGCCACACCGCTGTATTGTAGTCCCAACTTGGTAAGTGCCGTGTCCATGGGGCACCTTCTTGATTGTTGAGTGACGTGGGAGGGCCCAGCCCACTGTGGGTGGTGCCACCCCTGGACAGGTGGGCCTGTGTTGCATAAGAAAGCAGGCTGAGCAGGGGCCAGGGGAGCAAGTCAGTAAACAGTGATCCTCCATGGTCTGTGCTCTAGCTGCTGCTTCCAGGTTCCTGCCCTGAGTTCCTGCCTTGGGCTCCCTAATGAAGTGTGACCCAAGACATGTAAGTGGAATAAAGCCTTTCCTCCCCAAGTTGGTAGTGGTCAGAGTGTTTTGTCACAGCAATGGAGAAACAAACTAGGACACCACCCTTATTTCTTATTGCCCCATTGTGTGACAGGATTCCAAGTCCCTGTGTTCAGGGTCAATCATCCCTGTGAACACAGTGACTTCTTCTGCCTGCTGCTCTCTGGGCACAAGGAACGAAAAATATCCAGGTAGCTGATGCAGCTTCCATTTTTTATGAGATTTTTGCCATATTGCCTAGTAAAGTATGTCTCCTTTTGAGACCAAGCCCTTCCATCATGCAAAGTTCAGAGTATGAAAACAGAAAGAACAAATAAGTACCAATGGATCATCAATAGGTCACTGAAGGTAATGGTAAATGGTAGGGAAGCCTGTCCATTTAGCACCCCTTTGTCCTCACCCCTAGGAATGCACAGGTTCCTATGCCCGTGTTTTCTTCCTGCTAGGGTACATGCCATATAAAGGTCTTTAAGCTAAAATATAAACTGCATGGCATAACACAGAGCTTCTCTGGAGTTCAGGTCTTCCTCGGGCTGTTGCAGAGAGTGCTCTATCAAAGCTGTCAGCTTCAGGTGGTGAGAAACTGATACACCATCAGTGGATCCTGTTGATGTGAGTCCACTGCTATTCTTCCGTTTAGTAAAATGGGTTTTCTGGTCTGATGTGATGTAATTAGGGATCCCATGATGGTGAGAGTCTATTACTACTGTAAGCATTCAAGCAGTGACACTCGCTGAAGAGTTGCAGGCAAATCAACCCATAAAATGTGTGACTGTTTTTATGAAAGAGAACCATTGCTCTTCCAGCTTGGAAGGAGCCCGATGCAATCACCTTGTCACCTGGTCTTGAGGGATGGTCAGAGGCTCAGTTCTGTCTCTGTTGCTGGTGGACTTTATGTTTAGAAGCAGCAGGAGTGAAATCAACCCTGATCATTGGAAACTCATGCTGCTGAAACCAAACTTTAGTCTTTATCCCTTCCTGAGTGGACATGCCATTTGTGTGCCCTCATACCATCACTGAATGGCCAACGACCAAAACCAGGCAGATTACGTCAAGCAGGCAGTTTATGCAGTCTGCTCTTTTGCTATTGCCTCGTCAGTACTGGATGCTTGCTGGTCAGCACTGCATGGGCTCTGAAGACAGTGTTTCTCATTTGACAGCTTATGCCCACACCACTTACATGCTTCTATTGCAACTTCCTGAGCTAGCTCTTCAGTATTTCTTCTCCTAGGATAATCAAGGCTCTACATGAGCTCTGTATACACTCAAAGGACTCTTTCTATGCAACATCAGAAGGACATGGCCACCAAATTCTGTTATTCTTAGCCTATTTCCTTTATGAATCTCGAGATACTTGATATACTGTACCACCCACTGAGTTCTTTCCCATAAATTTTTACCTTACTACTAGAGAAAGTTACCAACTTGAGCCAGGAAGTGTCTGTCTTTTGTTTCATGCCATGAAATCCTTAGCAGCTCAAATAATTCCTGTTTTCCTGGTACCAGTTATTATAGCTAAGAGGTCTGGAGGGAGATGCTGAGATGAAGTTAGGGGAATGAGACGTTTACTAGAGAACACACCTGTCAAGAGAACAGGAGGAGGAAGGATTGGGCAGACGAAGAAGTCTAATTTCAGTGGAGGGAACCCTAAATTGAGTATTGCCTAACACAGGGTGATCAATTAGGCTGAATCAGCAAGGATTCCATGCCTGCACTGTGCTGTTCATGATAAGATGCATGTGACTTCAGTCGAAGTATTACTTACAGCTGCTAAGGATGAAGTGCTGCTGACTGGAAGATTTGTTTTCCATACAACAAACAAATCAAGTCCTTTCTAGGCAGCACATTTCTTTGTCTACCACAAATGTCTAATCCATTTTCAAATCATATTGGTTTTACCTTGAGAATACATCCAGGATGTGGCCATTTCTTATTCTTGGTATCAGCATTAGTCTGCGGGTGGACTACTGGACTGGCACTTGGCTTTTCTGCTTGTCGTTCTTACTCTTACTGAACAATATGTATCGAAAGGATAAACCAGGAAGTGAGGAAATGGCTCAGTTGGTTAAGTACTTGCTGTGCAGGCATGAGGACATGAGTTCAAATCCTTAGCACTCATGGAAAAAACAGACCTTGGTAGCACAGGCCTGTAACCCCAGTACTGGGAAAGTGAAGACAGGAAGATTCCTGGGGCTTGTTGGCCAGTCTAACTGAACTGGTAAGATCCAGGCTCAGTGAGAGGCCCTGTCTCAAACAATAAGGTAGAGAGTGATTAAGGAAGACACCAAACATTAATTTTTGGCCTCCTGTTGTATAGCACTTCCCTCAGAATTGAAACACTTCCTACAGGAAGGGGAGGCTAGGAGAGATTCCAGAGGTAAACAATATTTCACATGTCTGGGAAAGTAGAACCTTGCAAGAGTCTTGAAGGCCCCTCCCTAGCTTTGCAGGAGTAACATTTTCTGAGGAAGACTGTGACCATCAGAGCTAGAGAGGAGATGCTCCGACCTGTCCAGGGTTGCAGCAGCCATGAGTTGTCCCTGTTAGGTAGGCGTTTTGGTGATGCAGCTGCTATTTTAGTCACCCTTAGTCCTGTAAGTAACACCTCACCCACACTCCTGTTAATAACCCCAATAAAAAGTCATTAGTTCACCAAGTTGGACTTTGGTACAATCATTACTTTGGTCTGTTGTGGGTTCCCTATCTGGGCTGACTAGACCTGTGTGTAATATCGCCCCAGAAAAGTCTGTCATACACCATCTATACATCTACACACACACACACACACACACACACACACACACACACACACACACCAGAGTAAGTCAAGTCACTCCTTTGTTTCAATCATCCAATAGCTTCCTGTTATACCCATTAATCCAAACAGCTTACCATGCTCTCTAAGGAACTGAAGATAGGTCTGATTATTTCCGTTCCACTATGACTCCTATGAGCTCATCTTCCATTATGTTTCATCCCACATGTAGTTCCAAACTTATCTCCTTGGAATTTCTCAAATACGCCACACACACTGATACCTCAAGCCCTTCACCCACTTTCTCTTTCTGAGGACATTACTTCTCAGTTACCAGTTACTCTCTCCTCTTCCATTCAGGTCTCTGCTCAATTTTACCTCATCACAGAGGCTTTCCTATTTAAACTAGTAGCCTCATTTAACCTTCTCTTGCATACTAGTCTAGTCTAGTCTAGTTCTGGTCTGTCCTTTATTTTGCTTCATGTTTTAGCACTTAGTACTTGGTATCCTATACCTATCACCAACCCAAAGATTTGGCACATAGCAGACACCCCAAAGGTTCTGTGGAAGGAATCCTGAGAGTTCCCTCCACTACTTTCTTGATTCTCTCTTCCTCCTATTTAGATTCCTCTTCCACGTTTCTAGAAAACATCCTCCAGAAGTAAAACTTTGGAGACCTTGTACATCTGGCCTGACTGCATGACTAGACACAGAACCCAAGAAGAACACCGTGTTTACCTGGATTGTCAAACATCACCCACCTGTCTTCTTGTTTGAGAACTCCTCTGCATGCTGATCTTGTTCTGTGGGATTTGCTTCTTGCTTCTGAAAACTTAACCATGTTCTCTCTGTCCACGACTGAAATTCCTTGCCATAGGTTATGCCTTTTTTTTCTATTTTAAAGATTGTGTTATGTTTTAGGAATCAAAAAATTGCCCCTTCCAATTCCCATCCTCTCTAACTTCCATTATTCAAATGCATCTCTGGGATTAATCCCCAATCGTTTCTCCCTTCCTTTCTGAGAAATCTCAAGTAGAGTGAAACAAACTCCATACTGATTTTAGAAATATCTGTAGAACCGAGGGTGGTGGTCACACTTGTAATTCCAATACCACCAAGACTGATGCAGGTCTGCTGATAGTTCAAGGCTGTATCGTGAATAGGAAGTTCCAGACCAGACTGGGCTATACAGAGTGAGTCTCTGCTTAAAAAAACAAAAACAAACAAACAAAAAAACAAAAAAACTTTAATAAAGAAAGGCAAGACTGCTGTTAATTATAAAGCTAGTTAATTAATTCTAGTAATAGTGACACAGTGACAGAATCACTGAGTAAAGATACTTATTGATAGACAATGAACAGTCAACTGGGCTTGTGGACATTAAAACACAGGTGAGACAAATTTCTTCATGACACAATTCTACCATAAATATGCAATGAGCTACACGGTATTTTCCATAACTAACATGTAAAATAAGACTGTACTTGCCTCAAGGGGATATAAAAATACAATGTTTAAAACAATGTAGAGGGCTGACAAGATGGCTCAGCAGGGAAAGGTACATGGTAGGCATATCTGGTGACTTCAGTTCAATTCCCCAAATCAGTGTCAAGGCAGGAGAGAACTTCACAACTCCACAATTTATCCTCTGAATTGCACATGCTTGCATGCTGCAGCATGTGAACCCCCACACAAATCATAGAGACACAATAATATTAAAATATTTTAATTAAAAATAATTAGGAGGAGGGCTTTGGCTCATCTCAAAACCCTGCAAGAAATCCAGCATCACAATAATAAGCAAAGGACATACAGGTAAATATATAGTGTATGGATTTTCAACCCATTCACCTAATGTGAATTTGCAGTCAATATTTAGTCTCCAGTCTTTTCCTTTACAACAAAGGGTCTGGCTAATACACGCATTATTACATCTTTCCATTTCAGGTGGCTTTGTTTGTTTACTAAGCAATGTGCCCATGTCCCTGGTTACAGCTTTTAACAAGATCAGACCTAAGCATTAGAAATCAGGATTTTAATATTCTTATATTTTATATGCCAACTCCTATATTGAATTATTTCAGCAATTCCTTTTTAAGTTTCTAGGATCTCTTTTTTATTACTTTTCATATTATCCCATTCTTACTTTTAATAAATACACTTTTTCTTAGGATATCCAATTACATCTTTTCTTTTGTTCCCCACTTGTCTGTCTCCTTGTATTTCTAGCTTCCATTTTTTCATTCAAAAATGTTGGTTCCATTTTACCAACTATCTGGCAATAACTGGCTCTTATGAATAGGTACTGATTTTTGGCTGGTGGTCTTCAATCTAGGTTCACTAAATGTTTGTTTTTCACTGGGGCCTTTTAATGTCAGTATTCAAGACAAAAAAATTTGATACATTATCTTCCAGTAAGATGGAAGACCATGTACCTAATGCACTTATGATATTTGGTGAATTCTGAGGCAGAGGTTTTAAAGAAGCTATTACCCACTATATATATGGCACTATAAGAAAGACAGAAGCTCACAAATGATGAGGTGGGCATAAAAATGGAATCGAGAGGAAACACAGAACCTAGGATTCAGGACTGGGAAATGAAATTCTTTTTCAACAAATAAGATATAATAATGAAAGACAGACCTAGGACAAAGACCGAATCAACACGGCCTCAAAGAAAAGACAAAATAAAATATGTATCCGTGTACTTTCTTTTAAGACTTCCAAACAGATTAAGAAAGTACTGCTACCTGAACCAAAGGGCATCTAGGACTACCAAACGAGAAGCTAAAAGTGCTTAAGACTTAGATATCTCTATAAGTCATGGGCAGTCTGAGTGTCTGTGGGTGTCTCTTTCTCTAAGCCTTCCCTGCTGAAGCCTTCCAGACTCAACTCTCCCAATAATTCCACCTTTAGGTAAGCCCTAATTCATTTATTAAACTTGTTTAAAAACTATGTCAACACTTTAAATGAATCTACTTTCCTGACCAAATCCTGACCAAATTATCTGGCTTCCCTAGAAAGATTACATCAACGACTTTATTAGAATACAAAATCCTGGATGGTAAAAGTGAAGGATGGAAGTACAGGGATGGAAACAAGTCAGTTGATGACTTGCTGACAGCTGCTCCTGCTGCATGAAAAGCCATGAAGAAACACTGTCAATCTCTTGGCAAGCCTTAGCTTAGCAAAGTGGTTATATCGCATGATCAGGATGAGACAGTTCTTGGAGACAGTCGTCCAAAGGGAGAGGAATTTACCTGATAACTTCAGTTCATTAACTTAGTTTCACCAACATTGTGGACTGCATCCCAAACCCCTTTTGGTAGTCACCAGGGAATCACATAAGCCTGCTGGCATTCTGTGACTAAGACAAAGTCACTTGTCAAGGGCCTAGGAAATAGTTGGGCCAAGAATGTTCTGGGGTGCCTGAGATGCATCTGCTATAGTATACAAAGATATACTGTCTACTGGCACAATAATGCTGTAAACTACAGTTAAATGTCAGTGAGATAAGACATTCCTTGCTCACATGTCAGGAGTCAGTAGGTATCTGTCCTGACTTTGGCTGGAGATCACAGGAATATCTGGTGACTGGTTATCAGCCAATCTACACAGGCACACAGGGGCAAGAGTGACAGGGCAACCTCGCTCTGCTCTCACTACCTCATCCTCCAGCCGGCTAACACAGCCATGCATATTTGTATGTCAAGAGCCAAACCACAAAACCAGAAATGCAGCAGTCTTAGAAATGTGGTCCAGACTCATAGTGAGAGGGAACTTCAAAGGAACTGAAGGGACATCAGTTTGGAGAAAAGCAGGTTAGGGCCATTTCTGTAGTCTATCATGCCAAGAAAAACAAGACAAATATAGTCAGTTCACTGTTCTAGCAGGTATTATCTTCTTTTGGAAAGAACCTGAGCTCTTATCTGACTGTGGTTGTATATTACCCTCTCTGAAGTATGTGGTCATCTTTCTTAGGTTGCCGTGAGACAGGCAAATGAGTGACACGATTATTCTCTCTCTTCCATTTCCCTTTTAACTATTATGCTAGTTGGTATGTGGAGCCAGGTAAATAGAAATAGATTTTGTCCAGGAAGTCTAAATTTATACTCCAAATCTAGACTTTGGCTCTATTTAAGTCAATCAAGCCTTCCTCTATTTCTAGGGCCAAGTTTCAAACATGAAGAACTTTACTTTAATCCCAAGTTTGTAAAATAACTGCTAAATAAAGTGAGCCAGTAAGTGCATAATGGAGGCCATGCCAAACCTTATGCAGTCCACACAGCACTGTAACAGTAGCTCTCAGAACCAATCAAGTCAGAAACCTCAGGCTTCGGACCAGGCCTTGCCACAAACTAGTCATATGTCCTATCAGCCATGTATCTAACATCTCTAAGTCACATATGTATCCTCACGAATTGATCTGAACCACAGTATCTCAATGTCCACAGGACATTAATAGGCATCACACATTCTACTGATTTTAACACACACTTGCTTCCATGAGGTCCAGAATGGTTATTTCAGGAATTCTCAGAACCTTTAACATGCTGTGCCTTTTGAGTCTTCAAGAGGGAAATGTAATTTGCAACAAAGTAATTTCACCAAGAATGTTTTTTTCCACATAATGATATTGTGTCCCAAGTGCATATTTTTTGAGATATATTATTACTTCTCATTTCTACAGTCCAAATCCCAGAAGGAAGCAGATGATTTCAGATGAGGGCATCTGAGAGGTGTGCAATGAAATGGCTGCTTATGAAGGCCCTGGCAGGGTTAGAGAAACTGCCGCTGGGACTTAATACCAGGTGGAGCCCATTACTGCCCTGAATGAAAATGGACAGAGGGAGCAAGGACCTGAAACTGGAATAACTACTTGGTAAGGGAAAGGATACCTCACAGGATTGCAATCTATAAAGGAACACGGACAACTCATAGTGACCAAGAAAATCAATGTTTTCATATTTACAGTGGTTCATTTCAATTGTCAACACTGGCAATCTTGAATCACCTGGGAAGAATCTCAGTGAGGGGTTGCCTGGATCAGGTCGGCCTGTGAGCATGTCTGTAGGGTTGTCTTGATGGCCCTAATCAATGTAAAATCCCAGCCTGAAAGTCTGGCACCGGTTTGGGCCCTGGACCGTAGAAGACTAGAGAAAGCTGGCTGAGCATGAAAGCACACAAGCATTCACTGGCCTCTGCTCTTGACTGTGGCTGTGATGTGACTCGCTGTTTTAAGTTCCTGCTGCTGTGACCTCCCCTCAATGACAGATGATAACTTGAAACTGTGAGCTAAAATAAACCCTTTCTCTCCTAAGTTGCTTTTTATCAAGATATTTTATCACAACAACAGAAAGGAAGCTAGAACAATATTCTCAAACTCCAGGCTCCTGCTGGTTCTTCCCATTTGCTAAATCAGCTGAAACCCACCGAGCAAGTGAGCTTCCCTACCAGAGCGGAGGGCAGAGAGAAAACAATGGGGCAGATCCAGAGGACACAAGCCATCCAGCACAGGAGGTCCATCCGCCACAGGGCATCTCTGTGATTAAATGAATGAGGTCACCGGACTGACCTCTCTGCTTTTCGTTTCTGAATTCATTCCAAGATTGGCTCTTCTCACAGAATAGGTGGCCACCAGAGCTTAAGGCTGAAATCATTTTTAGTTCACAATTCTAAAGGAATAAACATACATCTAGTACTTGCATTCCAGACACTGGTGAAAGCTGCTTACATACAGATTCTGCTCATCTTAACATTCCTGTGGCCACTGCACTGCTGACTCTGTTCAGCTGAGAAAAGAACAGAGGATGGGAAATGGAAAAGCAAAGCTGAGACCAAGACTCGGTTGTCCAATTTCAGAGCCTGAACTCTTCACCACGGAACCATATTGCTTTTTGAAAAATAAACCCCATCTCCTACAGTGTCCCTAACACACAGAATGGACCCTGGAGCTGCTGGGCCATGTACTCAGCCTCAGGTCAGCCCATGTTTAGGAAATGCTGTGGCCGTTATCTTGCTAAAATAGGTCATATGCCCATCCATCCGGCAGGAAGAAATGACTTAGCATTTTTTTCTTAAAGCAGATGCCAGGCAGATGGAAAGGGTAAGAGCGGACTTAGAGAAGCAGCACCACAAACTAGTTTTGCCCATTTTCATCATTAACCTCAAGCAGATTATGGTTCAGTTTTTTTTCAGGCCCCAAATTCTGACTTCATCTAAATCAAAAGGTGGGGGGTGAGCATGAGTGAAAAAATAACAAGCTCTCTAATCAGAACACAATGACAATTACGTAAATAGAACACATCATACTGAAATGTACAGTGCAACTGAGATGTGCCAAAACTGGGCACGTGGCTTCTGGACTGAGTCTTTCAGTCAATTCCACCTCTCAAAAATTGCCTGGGATACAATTTTTGTTTTAAAAAATGTGGTAAAACGGACGAAAATGGAACTTTTCCAAGTATCCTTACAGGCATATGCATGATTAGTTCCCAAAGCACACAAGTTTATTAATTTTAGCACAGTACAGTGACAAGGGGCTTGTGCAAAGCTAATGGGTAAGCTCTGTTTTCCCCTTCCCTCCAGCACCTTTGGCATTCTTTACCAAGCGGTACATGAAAGAGTAGAAAAACAGAAGGTTGTCGTACTGCCCTCTGTACTTCTCTCTCAGCAGCTCAGTGTGGTAGTCGACTAGGAAGTAGTAGATGGCCTCAATCGTGGAGAGGAACGTATCTGGCTTTCCTTTCTGATGGCGCCAAAAGCAGGTTTTTCTTGTTTTCAGTTCAACTTGTAATAACCCTGCCAAACAAACAAACAAACAAAAGGAATATAGAAATACTTCTCAATCACATTATCATTGAGACTAACATCAATGACTGGTACAATAAAACGTCTTGATACAGAGATAATGACTCCCCTTAACTACTTTAAGGATTTTTAAAAGCAGTGCAGGTAAGTTCCTTCAATTTCAACTCAAATGGGATATTACTTACATGTTTTAAGGTACACACAGAAACAACATAAGGTACAGAATGGATCATATCCAGAGCAGTTATCACGAGTCTCAGACCTTGTAGCAATAAATTAAAAGTAGTTAACATTTAAGATGTTCACTTCTATCTATCCTCTATCAGTTTCTTTTTAAATTTGGCCTATGAAAAAACAACATTCACCCATTTGCAAAAGGATTTATTTTACTTGATAAACTAATTTTTAAAACATTCTGAAACACACCGAGAGATGAACAGCACGCTGGTCCTGACTAGTGAAGTAGTTCACTTCCAAGTTCATGTGAGGCTCTATGTTCATGAACAGAATACCTAGAGCTATTTCCTTAGCTCTGATACCCATGCAGCAGAGCCTCCCTGACCTCATCAGCTCGAGTGCCTTGTTCTTTCTCAGTTAAAGAAGGAATCATTAATGAAATAGCATTCTTACCGCTACAACTCAGGAGGCAATGTACAAACCCAGAATGCTTTTAGTTCCTTGGACCAGTACTCTGTCTGATTCACATTATATTTATTTGCCATTTTTGAGGATACTTTCAGTTTTTAAAATTAAAATTTTTTCCATGTACATCTGTATGTTATGCATGCATGCATCTCTGCAGGTCTGTGAGAGGACATGGTATGTAGGTACGTATGTGTGTGTGTGTGGAGGCCAGAGGTTGACATCAAGTGCCTTCCGTGATTGCTCTTCATTGTATTTATTGAGGCAGGGGTCTTTTGCTGGGTGCAGGCCTCACAGATATTGATTCAGCTAGTCTAGCTAGTCAGCTTGTCTGGGGAACTCCTGTTTCTAGCTCCCAAGCACTAGGATTACAGGTGGGCGGCTATGCTACCCAGCATTCATGTGGCTATTGGGGATCCAAACTCAAGGAACTTTACCCAATGAGTCATCTCCCAGTCCTTTTCTTTATCTTTTTTTTTTTTTTTTTTTTTTTTTTTTTTTTTTGTGTGTGTGTGTGTGTGTGTGTGTGTGTGTGAGACAGGGTCTTCCTATAGGTCCAGCTGGCTTGGAACTCACTATGTAGACCAAGCTGGCCTTGATCTCACTGAGATCTGCCTGCCTCTGCCTCCCAAGTGCTGGGATTAAAGGCGTGCACCACCATACCTGCCCCTCCAGCCCCCTTTTAAAAAGGGAAATAAAGGGGAGAAGTTAGCACAAAATTGGCTCACTAGCCAACTAGGTATCTCTGTGTCATCAATCAATTCTATTTCTCATGTTTCAGTTTTCTGGCATGAAGAGGCAAGATCTAAAAAATATGAAGACATGAAGAGATCTGGAGGATCAAGTGTCTAAAAATCAGGGGAGGAGAGAGCAGAGTAGATTGGAGGTATTACTGTAAGACAGTGACTATGACTTTTCCAGAAATTATTATTTTTTAAATCTACACCCACAAAATTATGAAACACAGTGTATCTAAAGCAGAAAACCATACGAAGAAATCAAGAGAAGATCTTAAAAGCAGTTATTGAAGGGGGTGTACTAGTTCTGGGTAAGATAGCTGAAAGGACGCCGTGAACCAGGGAAAGACACAGTTGAAGTAAGAACAGACTTCGTCTCAACAAGAACAGAGCAAGAGCTGCATCTAATAAATGCAGTAAAAATGACGAGGGATTGCAGGGAACTTCTGCCACTGCAGCAGCAAAACAAAGAGCCAGCTGTCTACAGGCCATAGCTATTCCCCCTGCCAGGAAGCACTCTGGGCAGAGTCCATCAGAATCAGAGCTGGGCACACGGCCCCAGAGGAAACTGCCTTAAAGAACTTACATTCCTGGCTGGGACCAGCAGAGAAACAGTTCATGCTGCTGGAAACCAAAACTGGAGGTGGAACTGCCATAGCAGATTTGGGCAAGTGCCAGAGGAAGGGCCCAGGAGCTTGAAATTGAGATTTTCAATGCCTACAATCCCTCCGCACTACTGTCCAAAGGAGCAAGTAAGCTGTGCCACGGGAATGGACGGCAGAGGACGTCAGAGCAAACCCCAGAATCTGCCTGCAAATGATAATGGCTCAGTAACCCATGGTCAAAAGGGTAAGTAACCCTAAAGTTGAGAAACTCAAACAACACATCATCGCCAACCCTCCATCACAAGTGCCTGGTGCAGCAAGAGACCTTCTGGAAGCATGGGAAGTGTGCAGGCAGAACAAGGGTCGCGCTGCTGCATCCAGTGGGAAGGAACAGACCCAAAGTCATAAGATGGAGACCAAAACCGAAAGATCTTCAATATCCTCCATTCCGGGTAGCAGGGAGAGGCTACCAGACCCTAGGAAAATTGTGACGGAACCTGGTACAGCATCTTGATGGATAGAACCAAGGAAAACATGAGAAATGTTGGGACAGAAGTTTCATCTTTTGTCTGCTGGCTTCCTTCCAAAGGTTCTCACCTAAGTTTTCTCATGAGTGAGTCCTTTTACACTGAAGCAGAAGAAAGCCCCAGCCAAGTGCATTACCACACTGGCCACAGTTCTAAGATCTCTTTCCAGTGTCACTTTCCTGGTACTGAGACAGACTGGAGCCATGGCTGAAGGTGTTCCCATGTCCACTGTATTTGGGATGCTCATCTCCAGTATGAGCTTTTTGGGGCTTGGATGGGTTAGACATAAAGCGGAAAGCTTTCCCACACTTGCTGCAATCATAAGGCCTTTCTCCTCTGTGGATTTCACTGACTGAGGGTGGCGCTTTCAGTAAAGGCTTTCCCACACCAGCTGTAATCATAAGGCCTATTTCCAGTGTGAACTTTCTGGTGCTTAACAAGGTTAGAGCTATAGCTGAAGGTGTTCCCACATGCACTGCATTCATAAGGCCTTTCTCTAGTGTAAACCTTCTGGTGCTGAATGAGAGCAGGGCTTTGACTGAAGACTTTTCCACATTTTGAGCATTTATAGGGCTTTTTCTCCAGTATGAATTCGCTGGCGTGGAACAAGGTTGGAGAGGCAACTGAAGGCTTTCCCACAGTGGTTGCACTTATAAGGTCTTTCTGCAGTGTGAATCCTTTGATGCTGAACAAGCTTAGAAGTTTGTTGGAAGGCTTTCCCACATTCACTGCACTCAAAAGGCCTTTCTATGTAATGAACTTTCTCATGACGAATCAGACGTGAGCTGCAATGAACTCATTGCACTGATAAGGCCTTTCTCTATTGTGTATTTTCTGGTGTGTAACAAAGTTAGAGATGCAACGAAAGACTCTCTGGCACCATGTACATTCATAAGGCTTTTCTGTGCTGTGAATGACTTGATGCTGAAGAACTTGGAAGCTGTGAGCAAAGGCTTTCCCACACTGGCCACACTCATAAGACCTTTCACCAGTGTGAACTCTTTGGCACAGAACTACTGAGTGTTTGCAGGTGAAAGTTTTGCCACATTCACTACAAGTATGACATGACTTTTCAGTGTGAATTTTCTGATGTGATCTCAGTAGGTGAGTGAAAGCCTTTCCACATTCCTTATGTACATGAGATGTTTTTTCATTGTGAAATTTTTGGTCATTCACATGATTTAAGTTCTCCTTGGGGCCATTTCCCATTGTTGGGCATCTGAAGTGTTTCTCTTCAGAGTGAGCTATCAGGTGGTCAAGGAGAGCAAAGGCCTTCTGAAGCCTGTTTCACAGTCACTGCATTTGAAAGGCTTCTGTGTACTATAGACTCCTGCTGCTGCCTGTGGCTGCCTGATGGGAAGACTGCCCTATGCTGGGTGTTCCTGTACAACTTCCCTTTGCTGGTGGTGGCCTGGTGCTGGAGGTTATGGCCTGCTAGGATGTTCTCATACTGCCCAGCACATGAAGTGCTTTTTAACACTATGCTCCTTTGGCTGGTGAAGGTTCACTCTGATCCAGAAGCTTCTGCCACATGCCTCACATGTATATGGCTTCTGTCCAAGTTGTGTTCCCTCACGTTCAGCAAGGTGCAAAATGTTTTTAATACTGGGACACACGTCACAGGAATAGGCCTTCAACTAGGCCTTATGGGTCTCAAACTGGAACACTTCCTCTACAGAACCCTCCACTACATGCCAGCAACCAAGCCTGGGCTCCCTCTTGGCCTCTCCTATAGCTGGATGTGACACATCTATCCAGTCAGGCACCCAGGGTTCTTTACCCTGCTCCAAGTGCGAAATCACACAGGACTTGGAAGATGCAAATCCTAGGGAGGTCACAAGTACAAAGTTCTCCAGCATCACATCACGGTACAGGAGCCTCTGAGCCTCATTAAGAAGCCCCTAGTCCTCTTGGGAGAAGTACACAGCCACATCCTCAAAGTTCACCTAGTCCTGCCATGATGGCAACAGCTAAGTCACCAAACCAAAAGATAGCAGAGAAACAGGGTGGAGGGAAGGGAGCATAGGCAGATGCATTTGGGCCCCAGTTCCACGTACTGCCACTTCTCTGGCAACAGTCCTTCTTCTGTAACTAGATCCTTTCCACAAATACATTTCCAAGTAATCCCCTCTCTCAAGCGTCAGTGCTCATGAATGCTACTCTCTTCATGTCTCAGGAAGGCAGATGGACCAGTAGAATATGTCAGCCATCAGCTTCTGCCTCCCAGGCTTAGGGGGAATCACTGGCTTTTCCCTCAGGCCCTGGCCCCGTTGCCTCATATGTCTGTACATATACAATCGTTCTTGAACACTCTCACCACAGACCCCATGACCCATCCTATGGCCCACATAACCGTCTTCTTGCTTCCTCCCCATGCTCCTCTACATATGGCTGCCTTGTGATAGCAATCAGGAGCTTGTCCTGCTCCACACCTCCAGAAGACTCCACTGACTTGAGGTGGCAGCACCCAGTCCTTCCTT